AGTCCGCACATTTGTATATCGTAGATCATTTTCAACCTTTCGAGACAAATGTATCTCCATATATGTGCAACAGCCGAGAGTTTTACAAGGATGTTTTTTTTTTCTTAAAACCAAAACTCACCGAAGCGAATGAGTCTGGTGGTTGGTTTTGTTTCTCGAAGTACCCGTGATCACGCGGACTTAAGACAGACTTGAGTCGCAGCCCAAATATGTTTTAAATTCAAAATACGCTCAAAGTACGCTTCTGGTGACGACTTGTTTGGACTTCGCCTTAGCCAAGTATCCCAGAATGCATTTCAAACGAAATTCAGAACTGGAAGTAAAGTTCTGAAAAAGCACTGTTTCTAGTGCATAAAATAGTGCGACGATTTCGGCGAGAATGTAGCAACATTAAATATCCGGCCAAATTATCAAAATATTACCTATTTGCAAAAGTTAAGCACAAGATATATAATTTTTTAGGATATATTATATATATATAATGGGTGACGTTTGCTTTTCTGCAGTGGTTTATTCTTGAGAAAATCGGTTTTGCAGAGTTTAAAGTCAGCCTGCAAAAAGTGTCTGATTTTATTTCACTTTAATGTGTTGACATCGGTGTTTTTACCCACCACAGTCAAGCCAGCCGCCGCTTGTTAACCGCTTAAACGTTCGTGCGCTTCTACACTGAGTTTTAGGGTAGTATGTAACATGTCGATCTGTTCCTGGATATCCTGAAAGCCGATGTCAAATCAGCTCCAGAAATGATCATATTATATTTCAGCTGTTTTCAAAACAAACGGTCTGTAGGTAAGTTTGTCAGAAAACAGGTCATTTTAACATCTGACCTGATTGTTTTTGTTGAGTTAGCAGCATGATCCTTGAATACATGTACAAGGGTAACATAATATTTTTTAATATTATAGTTCATACAGCACACACATGTTACTGAAAGGTTACAAGTCTGTTGATTGTTCAGTCATTGACTAATCATTCACCACACTGAAGTTCTTAACAACTGATTTGTTAAGAAGTCAGTCCACCGTTTGCTCCAGTCTTTCCAGAGTGCTTCACAC